CCTTTAATCGAGGAAGTTAAGGTTTCATTCCACGTTTTCAATAAAGAAGTAGACTATCCACTCCAAGAAGACGAAGCTGAAGCTGTACTCGAGCCTGAAGACGCTGACCATCGCCACCAGGTGAAGGTTGGTAGCTCCGCTATAATTTGAAAATTTTATTCAGATGGATTGATACCTTTTTGCTTTGAGGTTCTTCTGCTAGCACATCCTGGAAAAGAAGAAGTACATAAGAAAGCATTCGGTCTACTTCCAGATGGATCAACTGACGACGCGCACGAGCCGACACCATTTTTGAAACAACTGAGCTTCCTTGTTGGTAAGAGCTTGATCTCCTTTGAGATGAGTCACCCCAGTGTATAAATTTCAATACAGGGGGTTTGCAGGAAGTTTCTCAAATGTGAGTGGTTTGTTAGCGATGGAGCACACTCGTCAGCTGGTAAGCTCTATCGCTTCCTAGGTGACCATTGCTTCATTGCTATCAAACCACTCGCGAATGAGATACCCTGAAACATCAGAAGATCCTCTTTCAAACTTCCTATAACATCTCTTGTACGTATCTCACAGTTTTTTTGTTTGTGCCAAGTGAAGAGAAGGAAATAAAGCATGCTGGTCAGACAATATACTCTATCTAGGTACTCGTGGCAAAGAACCATTGGCAATTGGTGGTAGTTGGTCACCCAGTTGCGACGGTGCTGATCCTACAAATCCGGCAACCATCATTCAAACAGCTATAAGGGCTACGAAAGCGTTGACTGGGGTGGATCTCTCCAATTGTCCGCAATGGTGGGTATCTTAAACTTTCTGGGGTGCGAATAAGAATAGTTTCCTGGGACCCTCCGCATTAACGTTCCGTTCTGTTTGTTTGCTGCGCCATATGCCCGTTTCGAGACGACCATTCTCACCACTTTTGCCTTTACTTGATGAGGCACGCGGCCCTCAGTTTTTTTTCTGTGTTTCGGCGTCATTACACTTGGCAGAGGCGAGAACGCAGGTCTTCTCCTCATTCACACT